GCTCGGTTTGTCTAAATTACATATATGGCCTAGTAGAAATCTGGAAAGTCTCCCTTTCTAAAGGGAGTGCTGCCCAAATTTTTGCTAGGTCAGGGAGTTAGACAAAATTGAGCTTTGAAAAGTCAAAGACTATTCTTGTTTTTGTATTCAGGCATATATATATTATGGAAAGACAGCTTTCCTACGGGAAGCGCTACCGAAATTTTCTTAGTTTAGAGGAGTTAGATTATATTATGACAGGTGGCAGAGTTGGCAGTCCACTCTGTATGGGGGAAACCCAACCAAAGGTCTACCTTTTCTCCGAGCCCTGACTTAGGACTAGGCTCAGACCTAGTTGGCTACCAGGAGGTTAGATGAGATTATCATATAACGATAGTTCGCATAAGGCTTACAGGTTTAGTCTTGGGCATTGACCGTCTTGTGTTACAGGCTCGCTTGATCGATCTGATTCAGGACTTGGGCTAGGTTCATCTGATCCCTTGAGGATCATCCGCTGTTATCATTGATAATAGGCCGGTTGTCGATTCGTCGGTTCGCGACTCAATTCCTACTCGCTCCCCATACTCAACCTAAAAGGCTTTAGCCTTGATGATCTTCTTGTTTGTTAAGGGTTTCACTCAGACTTTTATTTGAATGGCCATTTAATAGAGGTTCTGAGCATTTATTTAAGGTTGGTTGGCTGGAGGTTGGGGCTTGCTAGGCTAAAGCGACGGGTGTGAGTGTAGGAGCTGGTTGGAGTTGACTCCGTGTAATGTGTGAACTCTTGTCTGACTTTTGATGTGATTGCAGGTATGTTCAGAGACTTGGGGTTTTGGTTGGGCTGCCTTGCCATCGCGTATATATGTATGGTTAGAAGGAGACCCACTATGACTGTGAGAAGTGATCGTCACATAATAATCCATCTTGTGTATATGTATGTGCGAGTGTATGTGTACCTACGTGAGGAATTAGCGTGGCCCGAAGTACCCGCGCAGTAAGGGCCCCGAGCCTAACACGAGAGGGGTTTCTCTTTAGTAAACGGTAAAAGTGTTTGTTTCCCTTCCTTGTTGCGATTCATCTTGGTGGAACGATAAAGTTCCGGGCGGAAGGGTTAGCATGTCGCTGAGGATGCGCCAGACAACTCACCACCGCTCCAAACCCCTTCCTGCCCTAGGGGCCGCTTTGTCCCGCACCCGCTGGGACACCTCAGGGTGCAGAAGGCAGGAAGGCCCTCAAGTCGTTTTTGCGCCAGCTAAAGGGTTACCCCCCCCTTTGGCTCGCTCTTCAGCCAACGCCTGAGCGTCGAAAGGTGACCCCTTGGCTCAGATCAGGCCATTTGGGTGTGGGCACTATATAATGCGCCGTCATCGCACTTACTCGCGTAGAGCTGCATAGCGAGATAGTATGTGTAAGTCCAGCGCCCTCGCGATCTTATAATAAGTTCGCGTGCGACACTCGTCGCATCCCGCACTAAAAGAGTTATGGGTCAGGTGAAGAGACCACGAGCGCGACACGGCCAGTAAACTTGGCGTTTTGTTAACGAGAACCGGCACGTGGGCGGGGGACTAGCCCCAGTCAGCCTATGGGAGTCCGTGTACGAGCCTCATTATCCCGGACGTCGGGTAGCCTATGGGTAGGATACCGGACCTCCTCCGCGCGCGCGTCGTTTGGGCTTATCCACCCCCTTCCATTTTAGAGGGCTATCAGCTAAATGGGGGTTGGAGTGAGTTTCCTTTTTGCCTTTTCATGGTTGGACGTTATAGTCCGTGGCGGCCGTCAAAGTCAAACCCCTTGATGTTCGACCGCCACGACAGCTTAAAGCTGTCTACTCAACCCCTCTGCACAGGGTGCAGAAGAGGGTGTGGTCTTCAACCGCGCATGGCAGTTGTCCAGCGTCGAGAGATTAACCCTTAAGGCGCGTGTCAGCCGACACTTGAGTGTCGAATACGACCCTCGAGATTAACCAGGACCGCATGGATGTGGGTACCGTATAGTACGTCATCACTACGACCGCTTGAGCACTTTTGCATCGCGAGTCAAATGTGAGTAGCCCTACGTCTGCGCGATTTTTATACTAAAGTCTCGCGCGCGACGCCCACCCGATTTCTGCGTCGAAGGGTTATGGGACAGCTACTGAGGGGCTAGGGGCGTCATCGCGTTGTTTGTGCCATGTCGTTCTGTGTGTGTATGTGTGTGCGTGCGTTCCCTTTGTGTTTATAAAGTAGTGTATGCGTGGTAAGTGGGGTACGTCCTAGCCGACGGGCGACGAACCGCCCTTGGGACTTCAGCCCCTCAAGGTGTCGGTCCGCGTGCGGCTCCGATAGGCGTGCTACCGCGCGTACCCCCTATGCTACAGCGATTGAGAAACGCCCTCAGCTGGTCCGCCTCCGCGATTGCAATTGAGTAGCTTTCGTACTGTGGACTGGTAGCTAGGCGGGGATACGCCCACCGAAGGGAGGTGACAGCTCCCGTAAGGTGGAGGTAAGTTGTGCCTTGCGAAGGCCCTATCCTGTCGTAGGGGCTCGCGAGACGTATGGCTGGCGCACTCGGCCGGAGCGGCCTAAGGAAGCTCCATTTGTGTGTTCGCGAAAAGGTTAGCCCAACTCCTGCGTGACGCGGCCGAGAGGGTCCCGCGCTGCCACGAGCAGTGTCGGGCCGATGGGCTCGACAGCGGCACACACTGAAGGCACGGCCAGCGGATGAGCAACACGGCAGCGAAGCAGTGAAGCGCAAAGCGACACCAACAACACGGTTACACCGCAAAGTGAACACATCAACCCGCAAAGAACCACCTACGAAGCAAAAGGGACAAGCAGCAGGGTAGCAGCGGAGCGCAGACGAGGATGTCTACACATCCAACACGGAGCAATGCAGCACATGACCCACTTACATCACGATTGAACCCCGCAGACTGTTGGTTCCCACCACCCACTGAGCCAGGGAGTCACTCAGACGAACATCCGTCATCACCGATAGGCAACACAGACATCCCGAACCGAGAGGCCCTCATAAGAGTGCAGTAGGCATTCCAAACGAGGAACCACCGATTGTTTGGCACTACATAAGGGTGCTCAGTTGGGCACAAAAAAAAATACTTAGAAAGCATCAGGGGGATGACAGACAACA